TTGCAGTCTCATTGATTTTCTTCATTCTCACTCCTCCCCTCCATTTGAGGGAATTCTCTCAGTCACGAGCCAACTGCACCCAATGGGTGGGTTTGCTGTAAACATTTAGATGAGTGCTTGGGTCTATGGAACATTTTTTGTAAGGATGGACTCTTTTGTTGCATTTCTCATTCATTCATGTACAGCTTACTTGATGAAGCTTCTGAATGGGAAGAACAACAAGGAGTCCTGTGGCACCTTAAAGACTAACAGATTTATTTGGGAATGAGTTTTCATGGGCAAAGACTCACTTCATAAAATGCATGAGTTAGACGCGGATTCAGATTAACACAGTTACCCCACTGAATAGGAAGGCAGCCTGTATGTCTGAGATCCTGCATCACTGAAAATCTCAGGAGCAAACAAACTCTTAAAGCCATCTGGCTACCCTTGTGCCGCAGACAGGAGTGGAAACTGCAAGAATAAGAATTGCAGACTTGGAAAGACATTGCAGACATAGTCCAGATTTTTTTTAAAAATGGAAGGGGGGTCTGAGCAATGGAGGGAGGAAAGGGACCGTGTGACCAGTTGTGTGTGGCAATATGGACTGAACTAAAGCACCATAAAATGGAAAGCATTGTGAAAAAAATCCCCCTTTCCTTTAAAAAGTCAAAATCTGTAATTTCAAAAAACTCAAAAAGTCAACCAGCTGTAATGCTGAGCCTGAAGAAGAGATTCTCACTGCTCTGCTGGTGGCAGGTTGTAATGCTGGGACTGGGAAGGTTTTGGAAGACGATGGAGCAGTACCTTGACAGCACAGAGCATACCCAATTGCATGCAAAGGCACAAGACAAGAATGAGTGAAGATAAGGGATGTAGTGACATGATCTACCTAGCTGTGGTTTTTATGGGACTTAAATCGCCACAGTTACTTGGAGTACGGTATACTAAAAAACATGGGTCCGGATTTTGGTAGTTCTACTTGAGTTAGATACTTCAACACATCTTCATATGTAGTTCCATTGGCTTCAGTGGGACTATTAGTTGATTTGGTTAGTCTTCAGCATAAATATAAGCAAATTTGAATTAGAAGTTGGCCCACAAAGACCATAAAGTATGGTCACAATCCTAATATCGTGTCTATACTGAAGATGAACTGTTTGTAAACCAGGAGGGAATGTTATGATCACCTAGTCTGACCTCTTGCAAAACACAAGCCTGTGAATTTAATGAAGTAATTTCTGCATCAAGACCATAACTTCAGGTTGATCTAGAACAGTGATTTTCAAACTATTTTTCTCATGACCCATTGAAGAAAATTGCTGATGCCCATGACCCAACATAATTTGACTACAGTGTGGGCTCTGGAGTGGGACTGAGGATGAAAGCTTTGGGGCATCAGAGGAAGCTCCAGCTTTAGGGGTGGGGCAGGAGGGACTTACCTTGTGCAGCTCCCAGTCAGCGATGCAACGAGAATGATACTGCAGGCTTCCTGCCTCACCTGGCACTGCAGACCATGCATGCTGTGCCCCAGAAGCAGCCAGCAACAGGTTCCCAGCCAATGGGGATACAGAGCTAGTGCTCAGGGCAGGGGCAGCGCATGGAGCCCTGGGCTTTCTTCTGCCTCCTGCCCTCATCTAGGAGCCAGGCCTGCCTTAGAACCCGCACTGGTCACCTGATCCCCCTGCAGCAATGAGACCCAGTGTCTCACATTTCATGACCCATTACTGAGTTGCGACCTATAGTTTGAAAATCACTGATCTAGAACACATCTTTTAGAAAGACCTTCATTTAAAGACTTCAAAATACCACATCAGTAGGTAGCTCGTTGACATTTTCTTTCCACATATAAATATATAACTTTACACTGATCAAGTCACCTCTTAACTTGCTCTTTGATTAGTTAAATGGATTGGTCATCTTAAGTTTATTACTGTAAACCAGGTTTTCCAGTCCTCAACTTATTGTTATTGCTTTTTCTCTGAGTCCTTTCACATTTTCAATATCCCCAGAATACTTGGTGCAAAAACATAAAAAACTGATTGTTCAAATGTGTGTCCCAAACTTGTGCTTAAAAACAAACCAACCAACCAACCAACCTCTAACATGTCTGCATCATGTTTCTCCTTTAGTACAGAGACCTTCTCTGTGAAGTGAACGCTGCATTGCTGGATCTCTATAGGATTTACCTGGCATTGCCTGGATGCTGGTGGGGGCTCAGAGTAGGGAGTGTGGAGGGGTGCAGCAGTCGGGGTAGGGGACTGGGAGATGCAGAACTCAGGGCCGGGGATTGGGAGATGCAAGAGTCAGGGCAGAGGGCTGGCGGGGGTGCAAAGCAGGGGACTCAGGGCAGGGGACAGGGTGCAGAGTCAAGGTGAAAGGGCTACAAGAATCAGGGCAGAAGGGGCTCAGACCAAGGGGTTTAGGGTAGTGGGCTGGGAAGTGGGGGAGGGTTACCAGGGTCAGCCATGGTAGCAAGGGTGGCATTGCTCCACCTGCAGCTCCTCCCAGAGGCCCAAGGTTCTGCTGCCTTGGCAGCTCCTCCTAAGAGGAGGGAGGGGGCTGGCAGCTCATCCCAGGGGGCCTAGGGCTGCACTTCCCAGCCCTCCCAGCCAGCGGTTCCTGGAGGGGGGCTGTCTCCACTGCCAGCCTGCCCAGTCATCCCAGCAGCTCTACTCAGGGGCCAGGGGCCAGGGGCAGGGCTCTGCCGTAGTTCCCAGCTTCCTAGCTTGTACTAATGGGTGTGGGGTTGAGGGGGTGGGCCAAGTGTCTCCTCCAGAGGGGCATGTCTGGGCTGAAGTTTCTGAGCCCCTAACATCTCCAGAGGGGTGTTGGGGCATGTTTCTCAGCATCCCCTGCATCTCCTCCAGAGGGGACTGGGCCCAGGCTGCAGTTTCTGCTCCCCCAGCATCTCGGAGGGGGGGGGGGGGGAACTGCACTGCTTAGCCACAGGGGTAGTCCCGGGAGGGCCCTGATCGTGGAGCTGGTGGGACTCTCCCCTGTCCAAAACTAAGGCTGAGAGCCAGAGAGTGGGGTTTGGAGCAGGGGGACCACTTACCCTGGCCGATGGCCAGTAAGATGGCAAGCCCCAGTCCCAGATGGCCATTGTCTTGCTAGTGCAGCTGCCCCCAGTGTTCAGTCTGCAGTATAACTGTCCTCTGATCAGCCCCCTCCCTTTCCATGTTATGGAAAACAATTCCATTCCAGGCACTTCCCATTTTCCTGGCACAACCAAACCCAGCCCTTACTTTAAGTTAGGATAAGAGGAAGCTGCCTACCAAGTTTGGTGGTACTAGCTCTTACCATTTAGGAGTTGTTGAACAAACAGACTAGTGGACAGAGAGACAGAGACAGACAGATGCATATTTCTAAAATATATAGATAAATGCAATTTAAAAAATAATAGCCCAGTCAGTGAAATTTTCAAATAGTTGTAGATGATGTTACATTTTGGGGCCTGTTTACCCTAGAAAATAGTTATGTTAGAAGCTCAGGTTATGGATGCAGTTTAATTGTATTTATCATGTAAGGAAGAAGTTATTCTGTAAGTTTGCAGAACTGTATTTATGTTTGTGGAACATGGTCCCAGGCCTCATTCATTTTCCTTCTCTCTCCCTGCCTCTGCTTTGCATCTCTGATTAAACACTTCCCTACTTACCGTATAAATTGGGATTCTCAATGTCCATACGCTGTTTTTGAGCTTCCAGAAAGACTCGGATGTTGATTCCTTTTGCAACGGAAGCATTACTGATGAATCGAGAAGGGATTTTAGTACAAATGTCAGGTTCTTCTGTTCCAAACCCCAAATCTAGTAGAATCTCAACTGGATCCTTTTCCCAGAGCTTCAGCCATTCAGTGATGCTGTGGAGAGAACCAAGACAATTTATATAATCATATTATATGGAGAGAACCAAGACAATTTATATAATTGTCCTGGCATCTCCCTTCTTTTTGTTTATTTATTACCTGGTTTTGCCTTTGCTCAGAAATTCTATTTCCTTTCTCCATCTCACAAGGGCAGAGTTTTGGGAGGACGGGGGGAGGGGAGGGCAACATCAATGAGTCATGCTTTTTCATCCCATTCCCCAGACTATCAGGGAGCGAGGGGAAAGTACCTACATTCCATGCACGACTCTCTCACTGGCTGGTGAAGGGAGGGAGCAGAGGAGTAAATCACAGAATGCAAGTACTTTTCCCTCACTCCCTGATAGTCCAGGAAACAGGATGAAAAAGCAAGATGCGTCCCGGTGCACATGGCTGCTGCCTCCCCTCGCCCTCCCAAAACTCTGCCCTTACCATCTCACTCTCCCAACACTACTCTCTAATGATAATTGATTTCTTGCAGTACAGAGGCACATGATTTTATTCTCCCAGGGATACATTAGACTGGAAAGCTAAGGTAGCTGCATACTACACAGCAAGAAGAACATATACAGAAGTTGATGTTCCTATAGATAGAGGATTTCAATTCACATCACTGGTAAGCCACACACTACAGCAATTTAGTCTTCCTCACGCTGCCTCAAAACTCACCTGGGGACTGACCCAAAGCCCTCTCATATTAATGGAAAGCTTATCAATGGACTATGGATCAAATACCTTGAAATCAGCAGAGGGCCATTTTGTTCTCATTGAAGTGAATGAGAAAACTCTCATGAACGTCAATGGGAGCAGGATTGGCGGTCAGGGCATCTTTATCCTTTATGCTCAATATATTAGGTTTTTGATTCTCACATGTTTGTCAGTCTCTCGATGGGACTTAAAATATCTGGAAACCACTAACCTTTTTGGTGCACTAGAAAGAGACTGGGATGAGTTGAAACTGTTCCACCTTGACATAACAGGAGTTTCTGAAAACTGATGCAGAGATCTACAGGAGTTGTAAAAAGCAACAATGAAGCATGTTTACTTTTGTGGTCCTCTGGGATGTCATTATGATTTTATTCCCAAGTAAACATTTGCATTTTGTCTTAGTTTATAATGGTACATAATATCAAGGCCTTAGAAGAAGAGCAGATATGATACTGTGGCAATACACTTATTCTCAAGAACAGTATGTTACAGTAGGTGTTAGAATGTAGGTGTTAGGTACCAGTAAATGCTAATTATAAAGGTGGCAGAATGTCTCGCTTCTGACAGATGGTGCATCTTTGGGGAACCTTTAGGGAGCACAGTTTCTCTAGCCACCTACTTCTGAAGGATATAATTGCTGTTAACGAAGAATAGGTTCAGTAAGTAGCAACAGCAGGAACTACATTTCAGATTACATCTTGATTCTTTACATAGTTATGGTTTCTAACTGTTTTTGTAGCAAATAATCTGGATAACGACGACTGTTTTTAAGGGGTTATTCATTGCAAAATGAACATTCTATAATCTAGTAGGGTTTTTTTCTAAGGTACAAAATTTGTGCTTCTGTAATAGATGGACTTGGCTTTACCCACTTGTATCTAAGCTAATTAGGGGCATTAATAAAGTTATGGGTGAAAAGTTGAGCCTTTCTTTGTCCTTCCAAGATGCCCCACAAAAGACTCACATAGAGCTTAGGTCTTGGACAAAGGTACTAATGTTTAAAAAAAGCAAAAAAGCAATTTACAGGTTTTGCTGCTTTTTTCCCCCAAAAGTCTTGAATATAAAATTCCTTCCTTTATAAAAACAAATATCTAACACAGCCATGCATTGTCTGAAGCTTACCTCATATAACTTTGCACAGTCATTTGCACCATTCCTGGGATAACCAAGGAAACTGCAAATAAGAAAAAAAATATTTATATTTGTACTTCCTTATGCCTCTCAGGAGAGAAATGTTGTCAAACTAGAACAAACGAGGTTTATTTTATTACATGACAATATTATTTTAGCAAAAGCACTAAATAGGTGAAAATAGATGTTTTTGGATGATATGGACCATTAATAGTATCTACCAGACTCCTTATCTTTACGTAAAGAGATTCTGAAATGAGTTTCCTTTCATGTTGTAAAGATTCCCAAAGACACCTCTGTCCCAGATGACGATTTAACTTAGATTTGGACCACCAAGATTTGTTGTAATTTTGATTGTCATCTGAATCAGCAGGACAGATTTTTCTTAGGAGTAAAAGTAGCTGCACAGGGGGTTATAGTAGTAAAATTGCATTAGTTTAAATTCACACATTATCTTATACTGGTATAACTTTTCTAGTACAGACAAGCTTTTAACACAAGCTTTTAACGTTGAGATAGGGCTTCTACAGAGTGGAGAAAATGCTGCTCAAAAAGGGTAAAGGGCCTGCTAATTAGGGGTGGAAGGCTACAGGGCAATTAGGAGCAGCAGGCAGAGAGCTGGCTGTCTACACTGGCCAACTGACTCTACTTCAAGCCTGCTGGAATCCTGCTGGAGGACTTTAAAGACTTCCCCAGTCAAGCTTTTAACGTTGAGATAGGGCTTCTACAGAGTGGAGAAAATGCTGCTCAAAAAGGGTAAAGGGCCTGCTAATTAGGGGTGGAAGGCTACAGGGCAATTAGGAGCAGCAGGCAGAGAGCTGGCTGTCTACACTGGCCAACTGACTCTACTTCAAGCCTGCTGGAATCCTGCTGGAGGACTTTAAAGACTTCCCCAGTTAGAAGGTAGGGGGAAGAGTGAGAGAATGGAAAGAGAGGGAGAGAAGAGGAGAGGAGAG